TAATAAGATCGTTCTTTCTCTGTTTACTGAAGCCTGATTGGTTGTTGTTAATCCAACAGTAGATAGAAACAACAGTAAACAGAGAAAGAACGATCTTATTATTCCTGCCTCTCACTCTAATCGTCTTTCTACCCCCACCATTGCCATCAGCGGTCCATTCTAGATGTCGATGAATGTATCCGATATTATTGCTGCACTTTCTGAACTGGTACACACAGTGCAAGTGAAGTGAAACAAATATGTTTATCTCACTTCAACTTATTGCACGTGCACCAGTTGAGAGTGTAGCAATAAGAAACAGACCTATAGATGTAATCTTAGAATATTGCGAGAATATATTACGATTTTTTTGAAGTCGCAGATGAAAAATACCTATTACTTTATATTGCTTAAAAAATAAAACATTGTAAGGATAATGTAGGTATTGTGTTATATTATTGTTACGAATAAATTTAAAATGTATTTATATTGTTTGTTGTAAAACTATCTTACTAAAATCAATCATATCATTGATTTTATAAAGTTCTGTAGACAAAGAATTCTTCTAGTAATATCCTCATTACGTAGGTTTTATTTGTTCTAATTCATTCATTATAGTCGCTAAGTATTCTTCAACTTTCATTAATTGTTCGATGATGTTCGTATTACTCCACTCTTGTTCCTTGACTTTTTTCACGACCCCTAGAAGCGACAATTTAGCGCTTCCTAACATTTTCCTTTTCTTGGTAACTGCAATATCAGTGGTACAACGTAAATATGCTTGCGCTAAATCACAACATAAATCCAGCACTTTTAGAGTTGCAGCTTCGCTATGACTCCATGGATTCGAAGTGATAAAACGATACGCTTTTTGTAGATACTGTGCCGCTCTCTCTTCGTCAACGTCTGTTTTTTTCAATACGACAAGTTCAGCGTACATTCTCCAAATATCTGGATTATTAAGTATATTAGAAGTGATTCTTCCAAATAATTCTAAACTATTTTGGAGCAAACGAGATGCTGGATTTCCGTTCGCATCATTAATATTATTTACTATAGCATTTGTTAATATCTGGAGAACTTGGACATCTAAATGGTTACTTTTCAAATCCAAAATACGATGATAACATCGAATAACCTGTAAATAAATTGTTTAAAACTATTAATAAGATATATTTAATATAAAGATTTAGCTATATCAAATATAAATTATATATATATATATATATATATATATATATATATTCACTTTTAATATATGTATACATGAACTAATTCTGTGATTTTAAATGTGTTAATGCTTTTAAAATTGGTTTAGATACTTGAACAGAGAATTTTTGTAAAATGTCATATATAGATATTTACCTCCGAAAAATGTCCCAAATCAATGCTTACGATCATCAAATTGTCCCACACTTGCCAACAATCGTAACAAGATGCTATGGCATCTTGTAAAAATTTCCAAGCTGTTGCTTTATCTCCCAATTTTATGTATGCTTTTGCTAAATTGTTCCACGCTTCAAAAGCCTGAAATTTTTAGATAGAATAAAAATTTTATGAAATCTATATTGACTGTGAAAGTAATAATAGCAGAAATATGTGTACGTACAAATTGCTCTAAAGAACAGTAACGTTTATACGCCATAGCAGCCAACTTCCAATCTTCTATTTGTAATGCTGCATAACCCAGTCTAAACCACACGTCTTCCTGAATATTATTCAATTCAACTGATAGCTTTAAATGTGGTATTGCCTCGACATACTAAAAAATCAATTTTACATTAAGATTTGAATAAAAGGTTTACTTTGGCAGTTAGGGACTCAAATACTAACATTTTTCTTTGCGAAATAATATAATCCCCAATGCTTTTGTACTTTACTGCTTTTTTCATCGGACAATTTCCATGCCACTTCATAATGACTCACATTCCCAGTTGCATCTCCTAACAGACACCACAATTTTACTGTTGGCTTCTTAGATATTTCCTGTTCGATAATTTCAACTGCCTGAAAAAGCGTTCACATTAAAAGTTATTTATTATATAACTTTTTGTCATATATTTAATATAAAATATACCTTATGTTTCAAATTTAACACGTTATAACAGACAATTACATCTTCCCACAGTTCTAATTTTATAAAAACTTCTAGAGCTGTTTTTACATCGCCAAAACTGAACATTAAATTAGCCCATTTCTCCTCCAACATCCAAATCGGTCTCATACCACTTGCAAAAAATAAATCCATTCTTCTGGCTGTAGGTACTTTTACATCATTGTAATCATTTATTAGAGATTGTGTTTGCTTCATTGATCTATTGATAGTTCTCTTATTATTAGACTCCGATGAGCAACGGTAATATAAAGAAGTCATCTTTAATGACCAATTTTTTGTACTCTCAATGACTCTCTACAAGAAGAATTTCTTAATATTATCTATTAATAATATAAACTACTATATTATTTATTAATAATAAAGAAAAATCCAATGTTAATATTATAGCTTACACTTAGATAGGGCCTGATTTCCTCATCAGTAAGGTCGTACGTAGGTTGACACAACTGCAACTGAACACTGTTAACTATTAAAATCTTTCTATGTTAATTATAACATTAGCTTACATGCTATAATTGATATGAATATAAATATATTGTTATACTTACTATTTTCCTAAAATTATCGCTTCTTCTATCATACCTAATTTAGTCTCTTCTTTATGTTCTGAAAACTCAATGCAGTCTAATCTCAAATCATCAAAATCATTCAAACTCAAAGACCTTGGTACATTTTCGCAATCTATCGAAGGAAGAGTATCCTTGCTCATTTCTATTTTGAGGTATAATTGCGGCTTTTCTTCTTGTTGATACTTGGTACGTTTTCCCATTGCACCTTCTAAATTTAATTTCAAGCCTGCTATTTTTTGTGCATGTTCAAGATGCTTTTCAGAATTTTGTGATCTTCTATAGTACAAATAAAATGTACTGGCTTCCAGATTGAATAAAAGCTTACAAAGAGGATGTTCCAATATATTCAGATTATTAATTTCTGTTATTAAATTCTCAGTTTCTTCAAACAGTACTCCTGTGTTTTCATCTAAAATATGTTGATGCAACAGAGTGGCTCTAAACAGCCACCAAATGCAACTTTTATATTTAAGCTGCAGATCTACGTTAGAAAATATTTTCTTAGACAGATAAAGGAGTTCTGGTTTTTGTACATTTATATTACATCCGTCATGCAAGGATAAATGATTGAGTGCTTCATCTCTTCTGGTTTTTAACGAATCTATATCTTTATCAATAGGAGGCCCTGTCCAATTGCATTGGACAAAGTATAATAACGAAGCTACTCCTCTACACAGCCATGACAGATGGGTATGAGTTTCAGATAAACTATTATGTATAATTTCTTCTAAGTTATCACCATTTTTTATTGCCTCGATAAATGTAGAAAGTTCATTATTTATTACATCTTTGTATTGGCCATTTAATATTTCACATACATTATTTGATAAATCTGAAACTAAAATAAGAAATAGTTAATGAGATAGAATTATATATTCTTGTAAAAAGATATTAGTCTAAAAAAAGAATTTCTACATATTGAAATATATTATACTATATATGTGTAGTGTGTATTCAAAAATAATTGTATACATTTTATTTAATTTTATGACTTTACAGTAACATATAGTAACAATAATTCGCATACCTTTATTTATGGAGAAATTAAGTAAAAGTTTAATTTCTATGTCTTCGTCTATTTCAATTATATGTGAGGCCATAATGTCGTAATATAATCATAAACATGTAGAAAAACACTGCGTTTATTTTACGTTTAGATTTTATTTTTGACACGGAAAGAAGATACCGCGTGGACAGATAGCCTTTATTTTGAAGCGCCTCTATATCCTTAAAAGGTAGACATTGAACTACGTAGCCAATATTCACACATCTTCCCAATGGATAATGTTCACAATTTTGTGGTTCTCTTTTATGCTACAATCATGATGTTTTTTTTTTAATTTTCTTCCTGCTACGCCTATGACTGATCAGATAAGTATTAATTATAAATAAAGATATAAATCAATCTTTCTCATCACCGGCAAACAATCGCGGTGATGGACAGCATAAAACAAACTAGCAATGATTTCATATCTTATTAAAATTATGAAGAATAAAGATATATTATATGCTCTCTCAGCAGGTCTCGTTTGTCCTATTTTTTAATAAATTTTAATGTAATAATGCAATATAAAGTCTCCTAGCATTGATCAATAGTAATTTGAAAATTATTTAAATTTATAATTGGCTTATTTATTGCGTCAGTGTTATATGTCTAATTGTGTTGCAATAGATATTTTTTTTAATAAAAATCGAACATCATAATATCTTTGTAATTATAGATTCTATTATAATACCTTTATTATTGAAGTGTTAATAAGGTAATAGGCGCTGTGGTAATAATGAAACCAAACAAAGTGCCAGATATGACAAAACAAATATTTGCAATTAATGCAATATTATTTAATATTATTATTACAACTGGATTTTTCACATGCAGGTATCCATCGAATATCTTACCTGTATTCACGATTAATTAATATTTGATACACATATTTTTAATACTATACACGTTCAAATCGAGTGAACTAACAATTATAATAAGCACTTAACACCCGCAAAGTTACAAATTAGATGATAACGTACGAAAACTCAGTCGCTTACGAGTGAGAATATTTTACATATTGTATTCATGTTATCTAATTCATCAATAACGATGAAACAAAATGTGTTCTACTTTCTTAAAAAATTCTTCAATTTTATAAGCAGTCGCGTTTTAATAACATTATTTAGCCAACAACTTAATACTGAAAACACGCAGGCGCGACATGAATTGAATTTTAATTATAATACTAGAGCGCATAAATATTCGAACACAAAAAATGATTCATTCGTAAATAAACTATATAAATAAACAAGATAAAAAACAAGAAAATATCCATTTAAGATACGCTTTAAGAAAGGTGGAGCAATGTTCTTATTGCAATACAGTTATCCACTGTAATATTAATAAGTATTATTAATTTACAATCGATCATTTAGATAGAACGGGAGGATAAAGATAAAGACGGTGTTGTTGTCTGCAAATAGTAGAACTTTCAAAAGTTTCTGTCTTTCTCATTGTTATTCTCAATAGCTTCTCTCTTGGCGGCTATCAGATTCTCCCATTGCGCGATGAGCGTGTTACGACGTCGTGGATTAGGCTACAAATAAAAGATGTTTTTTTATCGCTAAGTAAAACTATCAACAAATCCTATTTGGCGATCCAAAGAATTATATTTATCATAAACTAACGTTTATTTTGATGATAATAATTGATCGTAAAAAATGAGAAACATTGCCAACCTTGTGTTTTCCTTTATGTTCTCTCTCGATTTCATCCTCATTCAAGGTATTAGTGGAAGTACCACTTCTAAGGGAACTGGAGCCGTCGTAAATGTCAGAATCGTTATCATTTCCTATATCAAGTAGATTCGGCTGAGACTTTGCCAACATCAGCGATCTCATCAATCTAGAAGATAAAACGAGATTTACACGAATCAGTTTAATCAGTTTGCAAACGTTATAATCAAGTGAAAAGGCTCCTTTACGTTTTTTATGCATTTTTGCAATGTGCAGGAATTTGCCTAGATAACATATTGTATCTTTTTAATGCTTTCTTCATTGCAAACAAAATCAGATGTTAAATAAATCTAAATTATATTATTATTTAAATTTGTATTATTGATTATTGTTACAGGATTGGAGATATAATAATAGAACACACACAAATCGCTTTATATCAATAAATTTCAAAACTTATTCTTAAACAATTAAAAAGTCAATCTCAAATTAATTTTTCCTTTAGTCTGTTATTTTAAAAACCGTCTGAATCGTTTAGTAAGATAAAGTAAATTCTTTGATATGAAAACTTTGATACCTTAATTCGTTCTCTCGTTCTTTCATATCATGTAGTTCTTTTTGAATCTTTTGTTCAACAGGAACATATCCTTTCCTCGTTAACGGCTTCTTTGGCTCGTCGTCAGGCTCCAGTGGTATTTCCAATGTTCTGTTAAAGGCTTTGATACTCAGAGGATTGAGCGTGATGACGGGCGTTATGGGAGAACTCAAATTATCGTCGTTTTGCGATTTACTCTTATAGAGTTTTCCCCGTGTAGCTAGAAACCTGTGCATCAAACCCTTCTGGCTCGGCGTGGTTGCAAAGCGCAGCGGTGTCGGGGTCGTGCGCGTGGATATCACACCGTTCGTCATCTTTGGCGTCAAGTTTGGCGACCGCGACGTCGGGCTGACTGTCTCCAGTATCTGCGGCGTGGACGTCGTTCTTTTCAGTTTTCCCGAGGCCAGAGCTTGTGGCATACGGTGCACCTATGCAATAAAATTACTAATTACATATTATTTTAAGATACAAGTGGATCTTAAAATAATATATAATTGTTTGAGACGACTTCCAAACATATTTTCACATTTTAATCTTTCCCCTACAGCACAAAGTTACACAAAAGTTGCAATAACACTGCTGCAACATTAGTAATATTTGTACAAACGAAACAATAAAATTGGTAAGAAAATTATTAGCAATATTGCAGAGATTTTATTGTAGCGATATTATTGCAAATTCTGCGCTGTATGGATTTTCTTCAGGGAATTGAAACTCGAAAATATTTTTATTTTTATAAATGAAAAGAGAGATGCGCGTGCGATTTTTATAGATACGGACGCTAGACTGTATTATTTGGTGTTCGTTCTGAAGATACCTTGAAGTCTACCGTCTCGTGAGATGTGGTTTTAATGCTACCCACGTTCCGCAGTTCGTGTTCCCTCTCGGTGACTTCTTCGATTTCCCTTTGTATTCTGTCCGTCGCTCTCTTTAACTGCTCCAGTCTATGCTCCGCCTGCACATGCATTCTCAAATGAAAATATGGAACACCGTGTGCATTTAATTTTTATCTTTCCTCGAGAAGTACAAGATTATTCGACATTAAAATTCAATATAGTTTCGTTATCAAGGTTTTTAAAACCTTTTCACGGAAAATATAAAGAATTTTAAGTTATGTGATACATAAACTCGTTATATTATCAGAGTTTTAACATTTCTTTACAAAGAATTCAAAAAATTTAAGACAAGAGGAATCTCACTAAAATTCCATTTAAAAAAACGAAGTACTAACAATACATGTAATATGAATCCGATCGAAAATCGAATAGTTGAGAAACTTATCTAATCGTTTTTAACGAATATTAGAGTTTCTAATAACTTAAATAACTGATCCGCAGATATAAAAGAAATGGCGTGACGTGATGACGTCTTTTAAATTTTTATGTCATGTTTTGTGTGTATATATTCCAATTCTCTCGATATCTTTCTCATCGCTTATTGGGGCTCAGTATTGATTAATGGATTGATTGTAATAACTATTGATAAATAGATATGTTATTTCATTCGAATGATACCGTGGAGAACGAGACACTTTCAAAGAATTATGTATGTGCGGTAGGAAGGTGAAAGGGTTTTCAGCGGTGTGCAGCAAATTTCTTATTGCAACAATAACCGTCATCTTTTGCCTTTATCGATCGCATATCGAACATTATCAGTTTTTATCTTTAGAAAAAATTATGTCGTGTTCTCCTCTGCAACTTCCCCGACACGTCATGCATTTATGAAGTCATGAAACGGATAAATAAGAGACATATTTTCTGTACGAAAAAGATACAGGAACCGAATTTGCAATCAAGCGATGACCTTTGGTAAAAATCAAGGCTATTAGAAATCGTTTTTATTTTAGTATATACAGTGAATACATCGCGCTTTTATCATGATAAAATCTTCTCTCCACTACCACTTTTCTTTTTCTTTGAGTCACTTCCGTTTACGTTTCAAACGTTTACATCGAAATCACAAAAGCCTATTCTTCCTTTATGGAAAAATACTATTAGACTTGCGAAAAACTATTGAAAATAATTAAGAAATCATTCGAGTCAAATACTATACTCGTTCCAATAGTTTTTTTTTTTTACTAATCCAATACTATTTTCTCACAGTTTTGCAGTAAACATCAAATATAACTGGTACACTGAAAAAAAGTTACATTAATTGGAATTCTAGTTAAAAATGGACAAATCAAATTTTTCTAGTTGGATCTATAAATCTATTGAGATAATCAAAATTCTGGCTCATATGATCAGAATTTTCTGATAATTCGGCCATTTTGAACCAGAAATTTTCTCTATGAACATAATATAAATGTAGAATGTGTATATTTACGTATGTATGTTATATAGCAATTCTATTTATGTTTTGTTGAGCAATTTCTATTATATTTGTATCGGTTATTCGTTGATTCATAAAGCTTAGCATTCGCTTGGATATCATTAAAGGTTGCATGAATAAATTTTCGCGACGATTAACCAGGTCTGAGAAAGACTCCAAGGCCAGCTTTAATACCTCGTCTCGGTGTCTCTGGCAAGAAAAGTGCCGTAAAAGGGTTGGCGTGGCGTACGAAAGGCGAGGCGAGGACAGAAGCTGTTGCTACAGCCGCTATACCGAGTTTCGCACGAGGATTTCCAGCTGTGACGTGACGCCGGTCAGGAATGCCGTCGACAGAAAACTGAGCGAGCACCGACGGAGGTAACGGCTTAACTGTAATCATCGTTTCCCTTCTAAAAGAAATGGGCCACGACTCTTCCTACCGCTCTTTCGCTCTCCTCTCGATCGGCGTGCACCATCTTCGCTTCCTTCGAGAATGTCTGAGCGACCGACTTAAGGTCGATACAGTTCTCCCAATGTCGATTAACATTTGAATTGCCAAGTCATTCTCTTCCAAGTGTTATAAATTATAAAATGTAGACAATATAAGTACTTGGAATTAAAATCAAAGAATATTTGAGACTCATTGTAAATAGAATAATATTTAAGACTCGTAGTAAGTCCAAATAAAGGTAACTAAAATGTTAAAATACGGTCATACAGCTTCAATTAAATCAATTTTCAGAATTTTACTTTAGCGTAATAAATAAATAAATAAATAATGTAAAGAAGAAAATATATTTAAATCAGATTGCTGCCTTGACTTTTGATCGTAATGTATTCGTACAGTCATTCTGTTCTCTTCCAGGGAGGTCTATATTTTTATATCGTGCGTCAAACACGATTGCCTCATTCTGATCTTGAGCCTTGTATCATTCTGTATGAAGATCACGTACAATATTACGTCAACTGAATCGAATTATAGTTGAAATCAATCGACTTCAAAAGGATCAGTTTCCAAGATTTGTTATTATATCGATGTTTCAATTTGCGATATATCTAAAAATATCTAATATATGGGAAAAATTAAAATTGTAATACACATTAAGTACTTCCTATAAGTAAGAATTCCATGCCAACAATTTGTTTAGAACTTAAGAACGACGCAGAAACGTGAACAAAAGTTTTCCGCAAACATATGACAGGAATCGCGGTGGCTTTACAAATTTATTGACTGTTTTAACAAATGGCAATATAACATATCAGAAATATGTTGTATTATTAGTCTGTATAACCCAATTGTTATACAGATGAAATGATTAAGAGCACGCATTTATTTCAACTTTTTAAATTTAAACAAAAAATTTTTATTTTTCTTCTTCTGTCGTACTAACGTCGTTTTTGCAATTAAAGCACCAAATTACTACACGTTACGAAGAAGCTGTAGAGTGCGAGAGATATGATATCAACATTGCGTAGACGACTCAATGAAAAATGTCATTGCAAACACAGTCGCAATGTCACGCGCAATAGTACGAGGTGGAATTAACTCTCGCTCAGCGGAATCCAAGTCTTTTCATAACCAGACCTCTTATAATATTAATTCATATTCATTACGCGAATTAAATAATGAAATAATTATATCTTTCAAGTATTAATTCAAGTTCCTTATTTCCTTAATCAATAATTATATTTTTTTATCTCTATATCTGTACTTATTTTTATTTTATTTATCTTTCGAGATGATAGAAAGATAAAGAGGACGTGCAATGAATCAAAGTAATCAAGCAATTATTGTTTCTTTACCTTGAAACAAATATGAAAAGGGATCTCATTTCTGAACAAAAAAAAATAATATTGTATTAATTAAATTAACAGCATTAATAAAAAAAAAACAGTCTAATTGAAAATTATCGTGTTTATTTAATGACAATATTAACAAAACAAATAAAATTTTATTAAAACAAGAGCATGACGTATTTGTTTTATTAAAGATTTTCTGAAAATTAACAAGATTGTTTTTAATCAGATTGCTGTCAGTTAATGCTATTAATTTTTTTCCGTGTAAATTCGCATTTTGCGCAACTGTCAATTCACTCGCTGCTCGAACATTAAAGATAAATAAGATTGCCGTCACGCAGATTTACTCCGTTTAGCTACACTTTCCATATTTTCCTATTTCCTGATGTCTCGTCTAGCATCTTTAACTTTCTTAGATCCAAGTATATGCATATTTCGATCGCTTTAAATTGTAGGAACACCTGTGGGACGGGCAGATCATCGGTTAGATCGTTCCAACGAACGATCGCTCTACGACAGTCTACGAAAATATATTTAAGTAAACGTTAGTCTTGTTCTTTTTAGTTGACTTTTCTGCACAGTTCATCTCTTTCCTTCTTTTCTCTCTGCGCTGAAGAAAAAACAGAAAAGATGTACCGTATACATGCAAATTCAAGTATAATATTAATATCCCGTTTCTATCAATGTAGATTAACTTTAACTTATTCTTCAGCTTTTTCTAACTCTTAGAACTAGTAAAGAGTTAGTCGAACTAATATTAAAATTAAATTACCCTGGTAGGAACGGACATAAAACAAACTTGGCCCGGTTCCACCAATGTAAGAATAATTTTAATTTCGATTTAATTTACTGTTTATCCTTTTCTAATTCTAAGAATAGAGAGAAAATTGAAGAAGATAATTTTACATTGATGAGAAACCGGACCTAATAAATGTAACTGCTATATAACATATATATAAATATTTTCAGCTACATTACATAGTTATATTCGGTGTTTGCTAGGGTGGAGTGTCTGCAAACGATCGACTTTCCGGAAATTCTTTTTTATTTACTTTTTAGTCGAAGCGAAGGATCTCTATCTCTACTCACCTCCATTCCGTGCGTTTCCGCCGGCGAGAATTCGGGAATGCAACAGCAGGCCGGCAACGACGGTGGATCCGGACTGAACCTTTTATCGGGCTTCTCCGCGGCAGATACGCGAGCGGTGCGTCGACCTCGAAACGGGGAACAATTTCGAGCGGCTTTATCTGATCGCGAGGTGCGCCGAGCAACGACGACGTCCTCGCTTATTATCATGCCTCGCGCAACTAAATTACGTCACTTTGTTCAATATTTACGCCGATGGCGCGTGTCCCGCGCGTACGTACTGCCAACGGTGAGAACCTCGTGTCGCTTTCGGTTTTCCGGGATGGTTCTTCGTGCGCATGATATATTGCACCGGTAACGCTTGCTCCCGAAAGTTCTCTTTTCGACGAGCGTCGATTTGTGTCGTGATCAGGATGACACCCGACGAATCACCGCTACTTCCAGCCTTCCAGATGCGATCGAAGTCCTCGCTACAGTTCAACTCCTGAGTACCGGATGTGTCACCGTACCGGACGTGTCTCCTGACGGCGTTCGAGCATTCATAAAGCTTCTTCTTGTATTTCTTTAATAGAGGGAGGTCTGGCTGCTAGTGATTACCCAAGCAGAACACGAGTCATCATGACGGTGAATTAATGATTGCAAAATGATTACTATAAGTAAAAGTCACTTTTCAATCATTTACGATTCATTTTAACATCATTTCGTGATTATATCGCGACTTCCAATACAGCATAGAACTTGGAGCAATATTGCGGCAACGTTTGCAATGTTACTACAATGTTGCAATGACTTATGTTCAGCATAAAAAGCGGCTTCGCAACTGTTGTAAACTTAATGTCTTTAATGGGATTGGTTTCTACATTTATAGGTTTGTGAGAAACTATAAGGAGAAGGTCAATCATAATATTAAAAAATCTGATATCTCTAAGGAATACACCAAGTTAAAGAGAAAGTCAAAATCACTTAATTTATCTTGACGCCATGAAAGCCAAAATGATAATTTTTAGCTACAAAATTTGACTGTTTATTAACGTTAAGAATCAAAATTAAGTCATTTTGATTTTTTGTTGATTTTTGTGTTTAAATAACAGTTGCTTTTTTTGCTGAACACAGTCATTGCTATAATGATCTGTGCTGTATGGGTTGTTGTTCTGCTTGGGTAGAGGCGTTATATTCGGTCTATCTATAGAGGAGTGTAGAGGAACTAGCGTCCATAGATGTGACGCTTACCATACAGCACAAATAACTCCAATAACATTGGAGCAGCATTAAATTGGAGTAACGTTACAATAATATCGCAGCAAATGTTGCAGTAATGTTGCTGTAAGCTTCTGTGCTTTCCAAGGAACACACGATGAGTCTCGACAAAAAATCGAAATGACTATTTTAATTCTTAACGTCAATAATAATAATAAACAATTAAACCTTGTAATTCTCAATGTCAATAAACAGTCAAATTTAAAATCATCCTTTTGAAGCCCAAATAAAATCATTTGACTCGGTGTATTCCTTGATTGAGATGGATTACATCAGAATACCTGAGAATATCTCTCGTCGAAGGCTGTACACGCATAATCGTACCTGGTAATCACCACGGCGAACGCAAAGACCTCGATAACTCGCGAATAATGGGACGCACAGCGGGACCACGTTGTTGTGCAAGTATAATACGATCTCGCCGAAGTATCGGTCTCTCCTGTTCCGTTCTGTTTTCGTGAGACTAGACTTAACGAGACAGCTGTGTCTAACAATTTATTCGACGAGACTATCGCCGATGATTCTGCAAGACTGTTCTTGCGAGAGCGTCGCCAATTCCGTTTCCCGGCGAACGCACGTTCTCTCGCGTGAATGAGATCGACGGGAGATTACACCGGCGCGGCGCGGGCGGCACCTGCGATCAAGTCCTCGCCGTTCGCGATGGTTCGCGATACTGCCATACTGGTGAACTGGTCGGCTGCAGGTACAACGCAGGTCGCCGAGCGCGCGGCGAACCGCGGCGAACCACGGCGAACGTCCTGTAACAGTAAACATATACGCCGAGCGAATCGCGCCCGGGTCGGGCGATCGTCGCCGATGTGCGACACGCATACCCTATTATATATATATATATATATATATATCCTGATCCACGAGCAGTCTGGTTCTACCTGGTTCGGCTCGCCATTTTAACCGCCTCGCAAACCTTGTTCCCCGGCGGACCGTTCTCCAAATAAGAAAAGCAACAGGACGACATGCCGCGCCCGCGTAATTGTCGCCGGTCGCGCGCGCGTGTTGTCACCGATGGACACGAACCGGTCGCGAATGTCAGCGAATGTTTGGCATTCGCGCGGCGATGAATCTGGGATGTTGTAAATATTTGTGTTGTTCCCAGTTTATAGGTATAATTTATGTAATGAAGCGACTTAATCATGAGTCTTTCGCCGTGTTGTATCGAGTAAAAACAAAGCGTACTGTACTACAAATACAACATGAAATATTTATGTAAATCATTTCTTTTAATATTTTGATAAAATATTTCAGAAATATTTCGTAAACATTTGTAAAACGTTTTAAAATATTGCTTAAAAATATAAAATATATATGTGCTTCTCTAAAATATTTTAGAAATTTTGTACAAATATCGTGAAAACAAGAATATTTCAAAAACTCTGATTTCCTGGACATATTTATATTTTAGAAATATTCCATGAAACATTTCGGAAGTATTTAAAATCTTGCAATGAAATATTTTGGAAATATTTCATGTTGTATGGGACGTAACTTTGAGATTATTTTTGCCGATTTTTAAAATTTTTGCTTATTGAGAAGGGCGAAATTTTGTGAAAATAATAATAGCGCGATCCAAGTAGCAAAAGTAATTTGATGAGATTTCTCATAAGGAAAAATTTAATTATTAGAAGAAATAAAACAGAGTAAGGATTAATGCGAAAAATGTATATGATCCATATATAGAATTAATTTTATTGTTATGTCGGAAGTGTTTCAGGAATATGTTCATAGAAAGTCCCTTTTTTTCCTCGGCCGAACTTGATCGAAATCGATACAGTATAAACTTTTTTAAATTCCAAATTCGATAATAGTGACATCTTTCATTCATTTTTTATAGTCATTATATAATGTTGTGTCTCGCTCAAACGTATTTATCTGTCTTTATCTAACATACTGCAACACCATCTCTTAGAAAGAGATCAACTAAAATACTGCTCGGTTTTATGGCTTCACGTCAATTTCATTCGTAATATACAAACGAAATTTTCGACGACTCTTTTCTCTTATACTAAAGCCCCTACTTCGTTTCTAAAAGCATAGGATTGTTCTTCGAGATTTTCTGTAGGCTGCTGGCTACTTATTTTAAACGGGTAAAATCTGAAACTCTTATATGCAGCACATATTGTAACGAGTTGACTGTAGAAGCCGGTGACAAAACTACAATTTTTAATTTTCTTTCATTGTAAGAATTTCATATGTGCTCAAGAATAGGGCCCCAATGCAGTGTATCACTTCGCAGCCATATTGAATTTTGACATTCTGGGCGATTTCTGATTGGCTCTTAACTTTAGACGACTGCGCATCTACGAGAATGATTCACTTATCTTTTTACATCACGATCCGATTCGCTTTTATTCTTTCATTCACCTTCAATCGTTTTTTGGGTTTGCCGTTGCTTGCCGTTTGCGTCGTCGACTAGTTCCAAGCGAAAGATTCTGAAAAGTTTCACAAGAGAAAGATACAATTCTTCAAAACGATATCAAGTACCGTAATCTGGATCGAGACGACATATCGAGAGGACGTATTTTAAAAGTATGTTATATTAAGGTAAATGTACTAGTCAATGGACATAATCCAATTTTTAGACAAAATGACAAAAATGTTAAACATTAAGTCGTTAATGATATGTGTAATTCTAAATAAATTCGTTATTAAATTTTTATAAACGATATTATTATTTAGAGGCATACATATTATTGAAAGCTTAATATTTAATATTGAAAATTTTGTGTAACTTCCAATAATGGGATCATGCCCATTAATTGTACATTTATCTTTCCAATATTGTGTCATATTTGATTTCTACAAAGTAATTAAGAATCTCGCGTTCGTAAAAAGAATTTACATTCATAAGAAACTTTAATATATGTTACTTGCATGCTAACTCCTGATTTTATTTAAACTATATATCGGGTAATCGGAATGATTCATGTGGAATATTTTTAGAAATTTATTTGCAAGTACAAAATATACGTAGAAAAATACATTATGTAAGCAAAGTTATTGTTCTTGACATAGTCGATAACTTACGACGCGAATATTATAGGCTCGCGGTTTCAAAGCGCTATTACTACATTATGTTAATCCTGATACGAAACTGTACAACACGAAACCTCTGCGAGAACGAACATTCTTGAGTAATTTGCCTTACGTGTTCCTTCTTCTTGTCTAAATTTCTACAATATTATATTTTTGTAATCAAAACTGATTATAATTAATGTACATAATTTTATAGATTATATAAAGATTATATTTTTTATCAATATGAAATCGCGTAATTGATAAATATTTTAATGATATTAGCTATTATATTTTTATATTATTTCTCGCTATAATCTTATTCCTATCAAAAAGGCACCCTTTATATAATAATAATATTTCATATATAACTTATATGAATATGATCTATCTTGTTAATTAGTATCTTAACTATTCTAATTACATTCGTAAAATTCATTATCTTGTAGACAATATTAAAAATTACAGGTTATATAATATGTATAAATGCATATATGTTAATGTCATTGATATGTTCGTCAAAGAATTGAACTTGTGAATTATTGACGGTATGAGAAATTATGAAATAGCATTTAATAAGGGCATGTAATATGACATAACTAGTAACATGTCTTAGCGCCGAAACAATACTGTATCTCCTGATGTTACAGACTTTAAATCAATTTCCTCATAGCTTCCATATTTTCGATTTTTTTACACAAAAAATCACTTCAATTATATTCATTATTCTTACCACATTCTGTAATATAATGTATATACATTAATCACATATTGGTACATTAATGATTTTTATTCTTTTGTGTAAAAAGTATTTTAAATTAATTTGAATCGATCACTTGTATTATCTATGTCGAGAAAGTTCCGAGTTTGAATATATTGCATATAAATTAGCAATATTTAATCAATTTTTTTCTAAATTTTGATTTTGAGAATTTTGTTATTAATTACGATAGATAAACTAGTATACATGGCGCTATGTATGTATAACAATTCCAAATATTATTTTGTGGTTACAGAATAAAATCTATACGAAGCAGAGGTCTGAGAGAGAAAACTACCTAAATTTCTTAGCTAATTATTTGAAACTTAGACGTAATACCTGGATCTAAAACTGCAGAGATCTATTCTTTATAAGTATGAGAGTTTTCACAAATTTATTCATAATAAACTTTAGTATAAGAACTAAAGAGTCTTAAATTTATAGATCTAACTGAGTGAATTAAATTTCTAGGCTAAAGCATCTTTTTTAAAGGTTGCGACCTCATATTAGAAGATATTTTGCTCACCAAGGAAAACTAATAGATTCTTAACTTGAGTTAAAGATATCGCAAAAAGAGATAAAGGAGACAGTTGAAGCCTCATCAGAGTTTGCAAATACAAGAAGATCAGTGATGACTACTATCGATGACCTATCACCTGAAGTTCGGGCTGAAATAGATAAGATCTTTGATCCTGATTATTTTGATAAGATGACAAAAGAAGAATGGGACAAGATAAAGGCAATGGAGCAAATGATGGCTTATTGTAAGAATCCTAAACATTCACGATGTGTTCTGAAAAAAAAAAATAAAAACTGAAGTGGAACCGAAAGACCGTAAATACTGTTAGATTTTAAGTTACCGTGTTGTGTGAAAAGTGTATGTACTTCTGTTTTAATTAACAATATGAATTTAAAAAAATGTTTCTCTGTTAGCGAAGTTAAAATACCACTATTGTAAATTCTTTAACTATGTCTGCTTTATTCACGTTGTCTTAGTTAAGCATGATGCAGCACAGTATCTGGTTAACTACGTTTTATTTTTATGAGAACATCGAATATGTACTTCTAATTGGATTGTAATTGAATCTCGGAACTTCTCGGATATATAGATTTTATACAAATAAATAGAATACATTTATACACTATTTAGTATAAAAATTATATATTATTCAACATAAAAAAATATGAAGAAATTAGATAGAAAATATGGTTTGTAACTTATTTGAACTTAATGTATAGATTATTCATTAACATATGTGAATTTTCGAATACCTATAATTTAATAATTTATTGCAACATCTTGATTCTTTTAGAAAAAAATATTGTATAAAATATGTATTGCTGAAAAAAATGTCAAAAAGAAATACGTGAAGCTACGGCATTCAAAGTACGCTATACATAATTCATATGGAGCAATTTATAGGCCTGTTTTTTTGTTCTTGCATTCTCTAAACTGATATACACGGTACAATATGTTGAAATGAAACAAATGTATATTTGTTTCACTTCAACTTATTGCACCGTGTGCATCAGTTCAGATAGCGCAGAAATAAAAAAAGATCATCCAAATTGAAAGTGAATGATTCAACGTAAACAACTGAACTTTCTTCTTAAATAGCATCATACATATACAAATATCTATAATTTGTTCATTCAGCTAATATAATATATAATTGTTCAAAAAATTATTATTTTAAGGTCCTGCGCATAGTAGAACAAATATTAGGAACAGGAACAAATATTAAAATTTCAACTTATCAGGTAGCAGTTACACTAGAATACACGATTTCTGATAGGTTGAAATATTAATATTTATTCCTATTTCTAATATTTCCTCCATTGTGCGCAGGGCATCTAAACAATCTGTATGTAAAGATATTCTCTAAAATAATAATCCAAACAGAGATAAACATTAAAAAGCTTCAATAGAATTATTATAAAAATAAATTATGTAGTAATACATTTATGATAATCTTAAAAAAATAGAAAATTTTATATGAAATTATATTGAGATTAAATAACTGTAACATGTAACGTACTTTCTTATATTTGGCACTACCATATTTTCATATTTTTTCCATATTAATAAATATAATTAATAGAACCGTATCTGGTAAAAGTAATCATGTGAAACTAGATTTATTTTCCATATATATCAAGAGTGAAATTAAAGAATGCAAAATTTAATTTTGAATACTAATTTGGTATTAAACTTGAAAATTAATAAATGCAGGTAATTATTGCAATCAACGTAAGCTGATGGAGGTAAACGTCCTAGTGATCGCGTGGGCATGTACCTACGTTTGGACACGCACCAAATTTATTATTATTAATCTCAAATGCTTTTTTTTATTACAACATAATGTATTTAATGATTATATATAATTATATTATTATACTATTTTATATTAAAACTTGTATTTATAATAATCCAATATTTATAATTATATATAATTATAGTACTATATTAAAAAAAACTGTGTGTGTGTGTGTGTGAGATTAATAATATGAAGAAATATATAAAATTTTACGTAAATATCCGGATATAGCTACATAATACATACCTGGTCACTGGAACGTTTACCTTAACACACACACATGTCTAAAAAAAGTTATAAAAATAATTTCTTACATTGTATAACAAATAAATGCCAACGATATTAATGTTCAATGCTTACAATAATAATATCATGCATTAATTATTATCAAATCGACAAAGATAGTTTCGTTAGTCCGTTAACATCTTTTCCTTAAGTTAATATTATAAAGATATAAACTATATACCTTTAGTTAATCATATCGTAATAAAAATGAGAAACACGATTACATCTATTTGGTTTTGTTTTTTAGATATTTAAAGCTGGCCGCACACGATGCATGATTTTCATGCTTACTCTCTTGCATGCTGATCAATGCATGTTACTTTGCTCGGTTCGCTGGATAAACGTCATCACACGAAGGTGGCAACTGTGGTGGCTCTAAGGGTATATCCACACAAATTTGCATAGCCGCATATAAACATATACATAAAGAAAATTATCCAATTGCAGTTCTCTTTTAAAGTCGTACATAAAATGTGATTGGATAATTTTCTTTATGCATACGTTTATGCGGCTATGCAAGTTTGTGTGGATATACCTTCAATCACGTGAGTGATTGATGTCATGTATATGTGAAATGTATAGGTTAAACCACCACAGTTGCCACCTTCGTGTGATGACGTTTATGCAGCGAACCGAGCGAAGTAACATACATTGGTCAGTATGCAAGAGAGTAAGCATGAAAATCATGCATCGTGTGCGGCCAGCTTTAGCTTAAGCAAGAATATGCAGCGTTATATTGTTATTCCTTCTTTCTAAGATTACTTTAGATTTGTTCGCATGCTCTAAAATGCTCCTGCCATAGCATTTACTCACTTTAACGCGCTCGTTGAAGTGAGTAGGAGTTATAGCAGGAGCACATTGGTGTATGCTGGAACATGTAACGCGAACAAACTTTTTATGTTACAACAATTATTGCATATGTACGATCGACTATATCTATTAGAGCATTGCTATGTTACAAAATATATTTTGAACGTGATCAACATTAAATTTTACGTATCTTATTTATACACAAATATTACTTTTACTTTGCATACACGGTAATCTATCTCTTTAGAGCTTTGACAATAATACTATTTTTGTCAATTTGAAAAATGCTGTTCTTGCAGATATCACTAGATAAAATTAAAATCGTATTTTGTTTCTCAGATTGCTTTATAATTGTTTGTATATCCTCATTTATGATATATATCGATCGGTGATTGTCCACTTTCGCTTGCAATCCATGATCGCGACACAACTTGATTTGATGTAACGGTATGGTTACGTATTTATTCTGAGCAATTAATGTACTTAACTGTTCGGAACGGACGTATAAATACTGATGACTTTGTCGTTGATTGGTTTCTTGATTTGCTTCACTACTCTCTTTTGAAGAAACATTTAATATTTCTACCACATCAGTTGCAACAGATTGAGTTATACATTCGCTTTCTTGCAATAAGTTATTTTGATTTTCCAGAATAATCTCTTCACTAGCTTCACTGAATGCTTGCATAATATTAATATTTTCATATACAACCTGTGCACAAAAAATGTTATTTCCTGGATGTTCTTTATTATCAATATCAATATTATTTGGATATTTAGTAGGATTTTCATTCGTGACATTATTCTGTATAATGACATATTTTTCATCATATTTTTGATTATTTTCATTGGAATTTGTAGTTTCTGTTTGCGCTATTTTTAAATGTGTTATGTTTTTGTCTTGTACATCACTATTGAATATTTTCTTATGATAATCGTGCGTTTCTTGCAACACTTGCAAGCTGCTTTTACCTTGTTTTTCTGGAAAATCTGTATTTACTTCATGCTCTATTACCTCTTCATCTTTTTGTATTTCTTTTTTTGATGTTTCACTTTTAGAATTGACTTTACATTTTATTTCATTGCTACACTCATAATCTTGATCCTCGATATTATGCTGACAAACATGATTCTCTTCATTATCAGTTATTCTTAAGTTATCATAAAAAGGATTTTTTAATTGCAGCAGGCCATCCTCTATACTATCGATACATTCCACATTGACATTGCTGTTCTCCCTATCGGGGTATTTACACTCTATAGCTATTTCAGTCTCTATACCATCAGTCTTATTCAATTGAGATTCCGAGCAAATCTCAAAACTCTCAAATTTATCAATTTGTATTATATCGTTTGTTTCCCAATTTCTGTCATTATCAATACCATCTTTTAGAACATACTCTTCTGTTGTATTTGTATTAACTTGCGTTTCGTCATGGTTTTCAAACCTTACAATTGCATTGGATGCGATGTTATCGATATTTATTGTAGCTTCTGGAGAATCATCTTTCCTTTTTCGATTAATTCGAATGTTTTGATATTCTTCTTCCGGAGGATGTAAAACTTCACCAAATGTAGTAAGGATTTTATTGTGTCGTGTTTTTAAATGACGTTTATAAGTATTTCTGGTTTTAAACCTAACATAATAAGCAGAATATTAATATTATATGATCAAAATTATTAATATCAATTTTGTCTCTTTTTTTTTAGGTCAGAAAAATAAAGAATTTTGTTGAATTTTTTTAAATTTACTAATTTATATGTGTCTATGTGTAATTTAATTTTATTTGAATTTATTTATAAAAATGGAACGTAAATATTTGTATAAAATATATTAACATAATATTGTCTATATATTTATATATTATAAATATATATTTAAACAATAATTTTTTTTACTAACCGTTGTCCACAATCATCACATCCGAACGGTGCTTCTCCAGTATGCCTACGTTGGTGTTCTCTAAAATGAGATGGGTGCCTAAACTTTTTTCCGCAATCCGTACACGTAAAACGAGTCTGATTTTGATGAATCAACGTATGATATTTCAAACTGTGCCTTCTTGTAAAAACAGCTTTACATATCCGACACTCGTACGGTTTTATTCCAGCGTGACTCCGATAATGAGACACTAAAGTTGTAGGCGCTGTGAAACTACGAGGGGGGTCGCAAATGCGACATTGAAGATTGTTCCCTGTAGGATTACCCTTCTTCTTAATACGTTCTATGTATGCTAGTGCCATTTCCCTTTCTTCTTTGCTAGTGCCAATAAACTTTGCTTTTCCTTTAGGCTTGGTAGTTGTACATATCTCTGTGTTTGATTCCATGCTGATTTGAGTTTTATCTGATCATGATTTTGTACATATACATAAACATAATATTTAGAAATTTATACGTATGTATACAATATTTTAACATATATATATATATATATATATATATTTATTTATTCATCTCTATAATATTATATTGTATTTTTTATTTTATAAATTATGGATGAAATTATGCAACATACCTGGTGAACAAGCAATATTAGAATCTTGACAATTTTCAGCTAATTTCTGGTGAGAATACTCTTTCATATGTACACTATCAGTACCAACAACCATCAATACAATCTGGAAAAATATAAATATTTGTAAAATTTAGTGCATGTCAAATGTAATATTTAAATATTTTTCACAATTGTAGTTTAATAAATTGTTTATTACTAACATTTTCTTCTCCTGATGTATTATCAAGAACATTACCGAGAGATATTTCTTTTCTATTAGGCATCGTATCACCTAATCGTTCGGAATAACTATGATCGCCAAGAACCTTACTATCTATTTGCGAAATATTTTTTAATTCAGTGTCACACACTTCCTTATTTTCCAATTTCTGGAAACATTTCTGCTTCTCATTTTCTTTAATATTAATATCGTTCAAAAATATTTTACGTAAATAATTGACGGGCTTTTCCAATATCACGTCTTTATTCTCCTTATTTAACATTTCTTGTGGTTTCTTTATCTGTTGCATCCGACCTTTCTTATTTTGTAAATTAGTTTTGAGATTCTTATGATTTATACTTTTCACTGTAAATGTATCATCTATAATAACATAAAAACAAATCTTTTAATTATTTTAATACCTAAATACAATATAAATTTGTTGCACATAAGTTTTTTCAGAATTTTATCCAGGATGAACATTTATATATTATCATGAATTTAAAATAAATATTAAACAATTGTAAACAATTTCATCAGATTTCTTTTATGTAATACTAATGACAAGTTGATAATATAAAGAGATAATAGTAGTTGATTAGTACATACAAGTCTCTTTATCAGCTTTTAGCTGTTCTAAATGCTTCTCTAGGTGAATTTTTATGCACGCTCTCGCTTTTTCTTCACTAGCAAAACTAGTATATTTCTCATGGCAACCAGGCACTAATGCACAAGTGTAAGAATATTGTCTTTTGAGCTCATCGCTTGTAAAAATGGCAAATTGCTTAACAAGATGTGAAACAGGCATAGATGCGAGTTGAGATACAGTAAAACACGATTCTTTCCGTTTCATACTCGCAGTCTTAGGTTTGAATTGCAACGTCAACATCGAATTAATATGTTTCTTTTCTGAGTGCAGCGTTTGAGATGCGACTTCTGCAAGTACTTCCAACAATGCCGATGGACTGTCTCTTCCTACAGTACCTATAACAATTTTTACAATTATTATTCTCGAATATATCTATTATCTCATTAAATATATAATATTATCTTTCTACTAAAAAAGTTAAATTTTCTAAAAAAAAAAATGACAAATCTTCAGAAAACTTTTATAAACTATAAAACATTCATGACAGATAAATACAACTACAATATTTTTTGCAATAACAGATTTTACTCCACATATTCTGTATCAAAGGAAAAAAATATGTAAAACAAGTACATAAATTTTCCACATGATACAACACGGTACTATCAACATGAAGTTCTTTGCATCATCAGTGATCAAAATAGTTATAAAAATCACACCTAAAGAAATGTATATTTCAATTCTAAAACACTAAAATCCGTGCAATATTCACGTCCGCGGATAACATTTATTTGAAATGAAGCAACGTTGCTGGAACGCGTTTACATACGCCGAGGAAAAATTGTTTTCGTGCAATAGCAGACGCCATAAAGACGCCCAGCAGACGGTTTTTCAGTTTACTATCTATAGATGAACGCGTACGCGCGTTTTTCCCGGATTAGCACACGCGCGCGCGGATGTAATTTGGCGAGATATCGCGGAAACGAAGCGCAAACGTACCGGGATTACCTCCGTTGTACAAATTTGACACATGCTGCGGATTTCTCTTGGTGTTCATGATGGCATTCACGATCACGGTGTCTCTACATTCCCCAATTCCTCGTTCGCGAACAACAGGTTCTCCGTTTGTTGGCCAATCGCTCCCCCTTATGTCAATCGTCGACACTGCTGCCAACGAGTGAAATCGAGAACTATCTAGAACACGGACTACAGGTAAATGCACTAGACTGCTTGTGAGGCTCAATTCCCTAATTCGTATCGATAAAAAAGTCTGTTTGTGTTGCTTGCACTTTAGGCATTTAAAATCTTTGCGCTCTTTTTCCTTTTTTCTCTTTCTTTGCCTTTTTTCATTTTTTCGTTTCCAATTTTACTATTTTTATTTATCTATTATATTTTTTTATTTATCTGTTATATATCCTTTATTTATCTATAATTATATATTTGATTAATTTTTTTTCTTCATTTTTGTTTGTAATATTTTATATAATTGTAATTATCGTAATAAAAAAAAAATATTGCTCTCTTTCTTTCTTTCTATTTTCTTTGCGATGTCTGAATAAATTTTATCTCGTTTTAAGTGCAATGTTTTTAAAAACTTCAAGCAAAAAATTTCAAGCATTAAATTTATTTACAATAAAATACATTAATTATAATAATTTTTTGAATGTAGAAAGATGTAAATATGCCACTAATTTATTACACGTTTAGTTGAATCTAAAAATAAGAACCAATCACATTTAAAAGCAATTATATATCCCAATAATTGCACATTTTATGGATAGGTAAAACTACTTATGATTTATATACGATTATATAAAATTATATATATTTTTATATAACTTTATATAATTATATATAAAAAACATTTTTTCCCGGGTTCATAAATTAATATTTAAATTTTAGAATTATTATATATCGGTTATATAGCGGTATTGTTTTTTTTTTCTTACGTAATGCATGTGTATGTACAGTAAACCAGATTATTTTTTTTTTCTTTTGCAAAGTCTATAATTTTTTTGATAAAAACGATATTCCTCAGATAAGAGACACGAATGTAAAGCGAGGAAATAGGACACTACGTGCTTGAACGTAGCAAACAACAGAGTACCGAGAAGTCAACAATTCTAAGCGGAAACACCGCCGCGAGATATCGTAGAAAATTGTAAAGGATATGTGGGCGGTATGTATAAGATATAAAGTATAGAAAATTAACAAAATTCAAGCGTTTTAAGCAATCAACCGTGAAAGAACGCATACAGAATATTTTTCAAAAGATACATTAAAAAAATTATATTTATTGTATTTTTGTAAATCGGGAGCGTCATATTCTCTTTATAATCTTAAAATCTTAAAATTTTGTCTAATCTTTTCCATTACTTAATGTTATTAATTAACTATGGAAATTGTGGAATTTATAATTATACTAATTTATTATTTGCCAGATATTCGAATTTGATTTTTATTTTATGATTTTAGCCAATGATATTTATTATAATATATCTTATATACATAATATTTGCGTATATCACAGGAAATATAATATCGCTGATGTATCCTGAATCTATACATCTCCTCGACGCGAGACCTAAAAATGATTGAACGAAAGTGTATCACGGCGAATCCATAGCATTCTTAATAACGTCGATGCAGGAGAGGGGAGGTTCGCCAGCGCGATCATATACGCGGGGGTGCGCACCCTCTGGGTACTCGAGCGGGAGGAGGGGCAGCGAGGAAAGGAAAACGGCGCGTGCACGGCACACCGGTGCACCATCGACTGCCATCGACGAATGCATGCACCGGCGCGGCGAGCGCATCGCGGGTGTTCGAGGGGGTGGATCTGCCGCATAGCGTGCGGATATAGAGTGCTCCAGAGAAACTCGGTAACTCGGTCGCGTAACGCGCGTCAGTCAGTTGCTATGTGTCCGGGTGAGGTGGCGAACGCGGCGCGCGACCCGAGAACGGATCACCGTCCCTGAAGGGAACGGAGATCGAGTCTCGCGCTCCCGTCCCGGCCGGGAAGCGGCGACGACGGCAATAACAACGATTGCTATTACGACGACGACGACGAGGACGAGGACGAGGACGAGAGGCGAACGCGTATATTCACGCACTGTCCGATCTTTTCCCCGGCGACGACGGCGACGACGACGACTGGGACATCCTTCGTGCGACGGTCGCGGACGCCGCGGCACGATTAGATCCACGAGCACATGGTCCGGCGATCGCGATGACCATGATCGCGAACCAACCTGCGTTGATCATCGGCCTCGTCTTCGTCGTCCTGGCGGCCACTTTCGATCGCGGTGAGCACTTTCGATCGTACTCGGCATTCGACTATCGCGACGGACTTCTTTTTTCGTGGAAAGTCTCTTCCCGGAACGGATCGACATGTTCGTGAAGGACGGTACAATAGCGATTGAAGCAATGAGTCCTTGGATCTCGATCGAAATTTGCGCGATTCTTTTTAAGGAAGATCTTCCCCATTTTATCATTTTCCGCACCCGATTTCCTTTATGTCTTATGACGAATGTAAGATATCAATGTAGAAGGTATGCTATTAATGATTCTTGTTTGGGGCTGGAAAGAAAGCAAACTTTGACAGACAAAAACTCTTTGAGCAACGCATTTATTTTTACATGTTTTTCGTTTTTAAAAATATCGCGCGCGAGCTATTATAATAGTATATTATTATAATAGCATACTATTTTATAAAGAGAATAGAACTAGAACTTACTATTTCTATTCTACTAGAATTTTAGAAATCTACTTTTCTGCTATTTTATAATATTTATAGAATTTTAGACGAGCCAACACTGGATGACAATGTGATGTTTGCTTTATTTAAATTAACATAATGAAAGTCGCAGACGTTTCGATCCTGTTTGGATCTTTATCAATGCTCCAGGTAAATTGTTAACAAAAATTCAATCATCTTAGAGTAGTAATGTAACAGCGATGTCATCGTACATCCTGGTATACTATACAATAAATTTGTCGAATTGTTACATAATAGAATATAAACGTAAAAATGATTCTCCAACTTACGTGATCATCGAAACATTATTATGCGTCGAACGTCGAGTCTTATCAATTGGAATACCACACAGATTATTACGAAACATCGATTGGAATATTCTCATGAATTCTATTGGGACAATATACGCGCATCTTAGATGAGGAAAAAATTCTGAATAAGAGACTCATCTCCGAAACTACTTTTATCAAACAACAAATTAATAGTTTAAATTTATAGAATGATACGGAATTATTGGACAAAGCTTATGATAACATAATTATGTTTAAATGACAAGTTTATTCTATTCTATATATTATATTTTACATGTTTGTATTGTGTGTCTTGTATTGTTGTCTCCTCAGATGAGATTCGACTTTCGATGCACGAACAGCTTAATAATGTTTCAATGATTAGGTAAGTTAGAGAATTATTTTTACATTTATATTTTATTATATAACGATTCGATAAATTTATTGTATAGTATACCAGGAAGTACGATGACATCACTGTTACATTACTGCTCTAAGATGATTGAATTTTTGTTAACAATTTACATGGAGCATTGATAAGGAGTCAAAACAGAATTGGAACGATTTATATCAAACATAATGTGATTTTCATTATGTTAATTTATATAAAACAAACTTTATTTTGTCATCCAGTGTTGGCTCGTATAGGCATTATTTGATTGTATTATATATAGCTTATTTATAATTAATGTTACATATTTAAAAACTATTATAATTGCATTAGCAACTTTAACCTTGCTGAATATTTGGTAAAATCTGTTTTCTTCAAATGCTCTTTTAAAGGCCATTTGTTTCTCTTAATTATAGTCATCTCTATTTGCACTCTTTTTTTCAGAAAGATTTCGATGACGGATTTAACTTTCTTGAATAACGCTGAAAGATGTTGAAAGATTTAAGATGCCTGTACAATAGAATGACGTCCTTACGTCAGTTCTACATTGTCTAACTTGCGATAGTTTCCATCAATGCGGCATTTCCCGGGGAAATATAGGAGATTGTTTCGACGAACATTTAGAGAGAAGTTTAACTGACGGCAACACTTCCCAGGAAAATGTTCACGGTTTCAACAGGCACTTCGTACTTTTAACAGGAAATTCAGGCGAGAAGTAGAAGCGCCCTTGCGCGCACGAACTTAACGGACAAGAGAACTCCATATATTTGATATAAATCGGACTAAATTGCCACTTTTGAACATTGCTTCGTCCGAAAGCATAGGAACGATCGATAATATGACCTCGTGCACTTTATTCAGAATTGGAGTGAGGAAAGGAGTTGTATACATCACGGGCGCAATGCGGCGTAGAGGTGACGGCAGGGAAAGTTATCGTAGTAAATTAGTCGCCCAGACGTCGTCGCGGGGTCATAAAAGTCCGGACAACACAAAAGCTTAGAAGACGTTTAACCCTTTACGAATTAATCTCGAGGCAAAATTAAATCCTTTGTTTTCCTCAAGTTTTATGTCATCTAAAATATGTAGTCTCGAAATCATCAGGTCTGTTTTAATATTTTAAGGATCACATGAAAGTACAAAATTGTTATAATACATATGTTTTAAGAAGTTTCAACATTGTACGGAAAGGAAGTTTGGTGAAAATGGAGATCCTTCAAAGATTCTAATCTTCCGATTGCAAAACTTTGGCAGGATTTCTTTATCCTTTTGTTTTCAAGAAATTCTCTTTGCAATGCGCTTATCGATGTAACGATTTGCGATTTGTACGTGCGATAGTTTATCTAAATTTTATCACATTTGTTTCGAGCAAATAAATAAAGGTTTAGTTTTTTAGTCGTCAGTTAAACTAGCTTCTCTTTAAACTTTTTGTATTTGCCATATTTACGATATTTTATCTAAATTTTATCGTATTTATCTGGAGCAAATGAAAGTTGTAGCTTTTTTTTGTATCTTGTATGTTGAATTATTCATGACTGTGTATAGATAGATTAGTTGTTGCAACTTGTGGACAACTTTGAATAGCGTCATCGAACTGATTATATGAATGAAATTGTGAAATATACTTTTATGTGGCTCGTTTTTTTTTTAAATAATACTTAAATATACTGGCAATATACAAGTCAGAAAATTGGGTCACTTAAAATGAACTTGTCGCTAAGTTCTAAATTCTTAATGTTTGAAATTAGAGATTGGTTTTAATACTTTTAATTCCTTTTCATACTTTTATAGCCGTTTATTTTTAATTGTACAAGGATCGATCGGAAATCAAGAAAAGATATAATATGAATGTTTTACATCATTGATAAATCCTTTAGAATTTAGACACTTCGAGGTATTTTCGTTTCTTATTCAATTTTACAGAAGTGTGATACTCGATTTATTTTAATTCATCTATTTTTCGGGGTGAATGGAGGGAAATAATTCATTCTTCCGCTCATTTCTCTTTTTTTCTTCTATGGATTATTATTCTATGGATATTTCGCATTTTTTTGTGTCGCAAATAATGTTTAGTAATGTTGGTATCATACGCGGTATTACGGTTTGCAAGATACTAGTCGGCGAATTCCTACAACGGTAGCACTTGTGGTTCTTCGGAACAGCGGATCATGAAGATAACCATATGCGATTGTTAAATCGAATCCTATTACCGTGCTAGAAAAATATCGCAATAACTATACGAAAAAAATGATTTTGCTGATTTAAAAATTTAGCTATGGAAACAGATTTGTATGAAAATGTATAATTTTGTTGAATTATCAAAATAATTGTGTGAGGCACTCAAGCTGATTGTTAAAAAGTCAAAATTTTTTGCAACATTGACATGCTTGAATTTCCTATGTAATTATTTTGAATGATCAACAAAATTATTCTCAGATTTGTACTCAAGCGGAACGACAAGTCATTATGATGTCAAAATGATGTCAAAATAACTCCAAAACGATCATTAAAACTAAAAAGTCAATTTTTCAATCATTCCTGATGCATTTTAATGTCATTTTGACATTATATCATGACTTGTTGTTTTGCTTGGATATTTTTTGATACTTCAACAAAAAAAGTATTTTCGAATCACCGAAATGATTCTTTCGAGAGTAATCGCTTAAGAACAAATTAAGAAAGAAATTACAATTCTCTCTGTCGAGACTTTAAACAAAATTATAAAATAATCCCATTAAATCTTGTTTGATCAGGTTATTCACAACTTATTTAATCGTAGATTACTTTGGAACGATAGAACTTTTGCATTTATGAAAAAATTACTACGGTAAACAAATTAATTTTTCAGAAAGAAACTGAATAAACATTTCAATTTCTGGATCTAATTAAAGTTCTCTCAGAATACATAATATATAATAAGAACAGATAATGCTATTATAGTTAAAGAAATGGAATTTTTTTTCAAATAGAAAAGAGAAAGAAAAAGAGAGGAGGGTGAAGAAGCAGAACTATTATAAAGAAAACCATAACAGAAATAACAAAAATTTATGTTGTATCAAGTATCTCTAAATTTTGCTTACGCGTATTTAATTTTATTTCAATTATTTACAACATGACAGTTCGTTTAATTAAGACAATCAGATAAGTTTTTTTCCAGAATTAAATCTCATCAGGAGCGCGGTCTGGTTTCATCGCGTTAAATTCGATCGTCCTCGATCGACTGAATCGATGTACTTTAAACACATTTTCCTGCACCGACGTTGTCGATATATGTATCCGGTGACGGCGACAGCGGAAAAGTCGAATCCGGGAGACAGCCAAGAATGCATAATAGATATACGTTTTCCCGGGTACGATTAGAAGCTGCGATGTCGTTATCTTCTCCAGCCCGGGATCGTCCGCGGGTCGATGACGTAACTTTAGCGGCGCAAAGGTGAAAGGTGAAAGTATCCGGACGAAATGGCGTAACTTGGTCACGATGACGTAACTATTTTGAATCTGCGGATTTCGTGCGATCAGTCGACCATTCGCTTCTGATCGAGCTGTATATTCGAGCTTTTATAGCGTGTAATCACAATCGTGCTATGATAGATCTTACAATAGACACGTTCGCGAAAAGAAGATCGATCACTGGACGCTCGCTCGGTGAGAATCGTCCAGTTTTCCCTTCGCCGATCGAAGTAATTGCCGATATGATGTTAACTGGCATCGGCAATCCGATTTCGGGATATCACGGATGAATGCGCTATATCCGACAATTTGTTGAAATTTAGGGTAGCGCCTACGAAAGCCAACGTCGTGAGGGCTATCGAGCGACCCACTTTCTCCTTCTCCGACCCCTTTCCTCTCACTTACCCCCGCCCCTCACCCCTCTGCTTTGCACTGTGTACGCTTAATGTAGTTTTTGTTTATCCCGCTTTTCTTGTAATGGCACCTTTTTAGTCATTTCTGCTCTATTTATCTTTATAATGATTCTACTCCTCCACCCTCCTTTCTTTCTTTTTTTTCTAAAAATATTTCATTTCTCTAATTACAATAGCATTATCTCTTCCTGTAGTGCGTATTCTGAGAAAACTTCAGATTCTCGAAATTTGAAATCTTTGTTCTGTTTTTTCTCTGAAAAATTAATTTATTTATCTAGAGAAAATAAGAGCGAAATTTTAATTAGCAACGTAGACTTTTATTATGTATTTATTATGCAGTGTTTTTTTTTGTTTTCTCTTTGATTTTTATTTCTCTTATTCTCTTTTTCAACGCGTGCGTTTCTGTATTTTAATTATGCATATATAGCGTATACGTAGAGGAAAGATTCCTATGAGATACCGAGTTCATTTTGGGTAAATGCTAGAAGTCTATAGGCAGAATTTAAAAAAAATAATAGATCATTTTGAAGAGAATTTAATAAGCTTTAAGATAATGTTAAGTAAAATTTAATTAAAATTCTATTTTTTTTTAATTACAGAAAAAATGTAAAAAGTGAGCAATCGCAAAGTCAAAAAATTGTGCTCTTAATATGAGAGATGCTCCGAGAAATCGATAATAAAATGCAAAGCACATCAGTACTGCAATTAAAAAACTTTATTTAATGTTGCTAAAATACAAACAAACATAGCCAGTGTACGCGAAAAGTGAACATGCGATGGATTATACCCAGAATTCGTCTTCAGGTAGTTGCAACCAAGTATCGCAGAAATAGGCACTCGGTGTTCATTCCAATTATCCTTTTTATTATTATACAATAATTTTTATTATTATACAATAATAAATTTATACTTTAGCAACGATTTTCACTATGACATAGGAGCATAGGTTATTTCATATTAGAAATACTCTAACATTTATATAACATATTACGATTTTCACGCCTTATACAGTTTTACGATCATCAAATCTAACTTCTGTAATTAAGCAATTTAACAATATCTCGTATTTTTCTATTAGTACGATTTTACTCTATCACTACATGAAGAATTTATTACCAAATATTTACTTATTAAATAATAAACAAGGTTTAAGGTTCATCTGAATGAAACTTGAAGACATCTAAAATCTTTTTTTTATAATGACTACGGGCATAATCCAATAATGAATTTCCCACTAAATAGTTTTCAATCCAAGAGCAATAAATTCATGGTGGAATCAATAGATAGCGTTTATTAGTTTAACAAAAATGCCACTATCTCATATTAGGCGCCTATCTCATAATAGAGGGCTTATAAGCTCCTCTATATTTAATTTCATCAATAACGAATGAAATAAACCTTTGCTCACCAAATAATCACCATTCATTCAAATTTTATTTTTGCTTCACCGACAAATGCAATTTATGCATAATGCAAACGAAATAAATCGCTTAGATTCATGCAAATTATCCGACTTTAATGAAACCGTACGATAATTTATTGTAAATTGTCGGTTTGAATAAAATTCGGTTATTGACGAAACACTGTTGATACATTTAAGTTTATTCGATCTTATTTAAAAGAATATTCAAAATGTAAGCAAGATTCTTTTATGTTGGCTCCATAAATATTTGGTACAAAACTGATCTCCAAGATTATTTTATTTTATAAGAATTTTCCATTTAAGAGTAAAATATTCTTCTGTTAATTACAAGTATGATAGTATATATATCTATAAATATATATATATATATATATATTTATCATCATATTTGTAATTAACAGAAGAATATTGTATATCTGTATTCGATGATAGATTGAAGAGTAACAGCATAGGATTTGGAAATCTTTTCTATAGGAGTGCAATCGTCTAATTTTATATCCGGTAGAAAAAAATTCGGTTTCTTCGTATCGAACTACGAGACAGCTGAGTGAAGGTCTTCGCGTGTCTCGGCTGACTGTTCGATATCAGCTGGCGCCGTATCAGCCTGGTTTCTGTATAGGATGCGACCGAGCGCGCGTGCCACGTTATTACATCACAGAAGGGCAAAACGTGAATCAGACCTTTTCCCGATTAATCCTCGTCGCGGCTGACGTTAGTTGAATTTGTCGAGAAATCACGGCCAAGTTTCTGGTCTCTAAAATACGAGCCACTAAAATATTCATAAAATACAAAGGAAAAGAGAATTTTAACCGGTTGCACGAAATGTTCACCGTAATATCTCGTACAATAAATGTGTAAGATCAGTTGCCACTGTTTAAATCGCAAAAATATCACAGAAAACCTTAGAAATATCTAGCTATTTCGAGATTCAGGAGAAAAAAACAATTTTATTCGATCTTATAATAATTCTTTGCGAATCCGACTGCAAATGCAAATGCATGATGATCGATATTTTTTTTTGCTATTTCAGGTGAAGCGATAATATGTTACCAATGCAACAGCGAGTACGACCCCAGATGTGGCGACCCATTCGATTCGTACACTTTGGGGACTGTAAACTGCAGCTTTCAGCCTCGTCTGGAGCACCTCAGTCACTTGGAACCTACCCTTTGCCGAAAAATCAGTCAAAAAGGTAAAGTCTCTATTTGCTTCTACAAACGCAAGTTAAACTTCACCTAACAGAAATTCTGAAAGTTTTATATTTATTTAAAATAACCACTGTTTATGAATTTTTACTTTAATTTAACTTCACATTTATTATTATAATATTTTTTCAAATAGCAGCTCGCAACTGTAATGATTTATTGCATATTAAAAAAATTGTTATTTATTAAACGTCGTTCGTATCAATTACACAAGTTAGGCATGCTTTGATCAGCAACTCACAAATACCATCCTACACTCATATTACATTTTATAAGTAATGCGACAGCATTGCAATAATGTCACTTCGATGGGCAACATTGTGGCAAGGCGTTAATGCGATTGGATTAATTATGAGCAATTGAATTATTTATGAGTATTTTTGTTCGAAAGCTATCGATTCTGAATTAATCAAAGAGTCCATTGAGCTGTCAATGACAAGTTCGAAACATGAATAACCGCGCGTTTAACTCAAGAATGGTATTCTAATTTTTTAACGTAAACAATTATTTGAGATGATTTTTACAATTTCACTTAAAAGTCATTATTATTAATGACATATTGTATATTATTGATTGGTCTATAATTTACTTGTAAAATAATTAATAATACACAATATATGTAGTATTTGAAAACTCTGAGATTATCATACATATTCAAGTAACACGCAATGTCACAGTGACGTTGAATTGACATAAAATTCAATGAAACTTTCGTCAAATTTCAATCAAAGTGACATATGTGTGTCTCGACCTTATCGTGACAATTGAGTGTTGAATAGATTCATTATTTATTTTCTTAAAAAGGTGAAATCACTTTTAGGATCTCTTTCACCAACTCCGATTTAACGATAATCGATGGCTAACTCAATCATAACGATTGCCAACGTGAGAATTAAACGTAATTTGTCTTAGAAGAGGAAGAGAGAGGAATCGTTGTGATACATCAAACTGCTGTTGGCACTTCTGCGAGTTGATCATCGATTAATTCAACTATAAGTTGGTGAAAGAAGCTTTTATAGAAGTCTGTGTGGATGAAGTTAAAAAAATACATATAGATTTTCGGATCAATAAAAGAAACTACCGTGACTGAGCATTTGTTCGCTGTTGGAATATAAAAATCATTCCACAAGTGACTATTCCCAATTCAAAGGTCATATCTATCTTAGATTTAAATCTCATTTAAATAATTCTAGATTCTAAGCAGCGCAAAGGTAAAAATAGAGACTTCAACATCGGTCCTGTAACTGTTGCAGTGTACGGGAAAGAGAGGGTCGTCCGCAGCTGCGGCTACATCACGGACGCCGAGAAGGACAACGGCGAGTGCCTTATGAGGACCGGCACCCACGATGTGCGCGCTATATATTGCTCGTGTACCGGTGATCTGTGCAACTCCGTCGAGAGTCTCCGCACGCCGTCCCTACTGCCACTGGCGTCTCTTCTGACTGCCGTATTGGCGACACCGAGTCTGCTCCTATCGTGCCCGATCGTGCCGTCTCGTATCTCCCTCTCAGCAGCCTAATTCTGCCTAGTTGTTCTTCAAGTCGCACCCTGAAAATCTGAGATTCCATCCCCGGCCCGTCGTTGCGCCGCACGGACCGTTCGTATACCTTGGATTTACTCCTCGTTCTGTTATATCGATCGATCTAACGCCAGTCGATCGTTGTTGTCAATTTCCCTACTAGCTACAATTTTCCCGATAAGAAGATTGCGAGATCACGAAAAAATCTTCTTTGTTGGATGGATCACCCGATCTTCAGATAAGGGTTCGATACAGCCAAAATACTTAAGATTTGGATTGATGATTTTGGAATAATTAGAGATACTACAATTAAAAGAGCGATAAGTAGCCTTAGACAACGTAGTGATTTCAAAATGAGTTAGAGTAATAAGTATGATGGATTGTGATGGATAAGTATGAAATAATGGATTGCGAAAGAATGGCTGTATCGTTCGCTGCTGGGGAAAAGTCGTTGTTCCGACTTTAAGGGTCGTATTCATAGTCGATTCATAGTGATTCAATTTGAGATCCAATTTGAGCTGAGTTTGAATCAGTCTTTCATTTGAAAAACGTTTCTCAAACCACGATTTAATAAATCTGATTGGTTTAATCTTTAGTACAAATCTAGCTCGCCTGAAATGATGATTAATCGTGGATCGATCTATGGCATATGAATACGGACCTAAGCCTATCAACAATTTTACCGGCTTTCGGCCTAATTAAATAGCGTCAGACAATTGAGGCACGTCAATCTTCACGCCGCCAACGAAGGAAACTTCGCACCCAAGCAATATTGAATTTTTCCCAAAGCTGCTTGTCCCAAAGCAGCTGGCTATTCGAATTATACAACGAATCCGATGCGTCGCCCCCTGTTTCTCAGGATCTCGAGATCGGCTTCTCAACGCGAGATTAAAAAATTCCGATTTCTCGCGCAGTTGCATTCACGAGGGCCTTTTTGATAATCGTTCTGAAGGACGAAGGACGACATTCAGCTAACTTCTCGTAGATAACTTCAAATTTTCGCCGCTAATGAAGAGATTTTAGATTTTAATCGACCCCTCGAATGGTGTCTTCGGCTGCGAACGGTCCGTAATGTAGCCAGATTAATTAACGTAGCGTAACGGTGATAACTGCCAGATGCGCGAGGGCGACATTTCAGTAGTATACATATCTCTGCGAAGAAAAAAAAATAGGAGAAAACGTAAAAAAGATACCACGGCCTCTGCGTATAAAAGAAAAAAAGAATTAATCACCGACGCCTCTCGTGTTGCGCTGATATCGCGCTTATCGCGCGATTCTCATTCGGATTTCATCGGCTGTGTTGACTCGGCTGTTCAGATAGAGAATTTCCGGATATTTTTTTGCATAGACAGATTAAGAGGAATCGATTAAGGAATCCCTTCTACGTTTATTTGTTATTTAAATTTCTCAAAATTATTCTTAAATATTTACAAATGTCACTTATCACAGTTTTTTCCAACAACCTCACGCGATCTCTTAAATCTGCAAAGTTCCATGGTTTAAAAGAAATGATGAGTTTTTTGCAGAATGCATTCCTGTCGATTCCTATCAATTTGTCTACTTTTGTATAGGAACGACCGAATTTTAACGTGCGATATCGGGATAAAAGAAAGAGCGCAGCAGGAGGAGTGAATATCTTAAAATATCTGAAAATTTACGATTAGTGTAACAATAAAGAGTAAAATACACGGTAACAAAGTAGCGGCATCGCGATAACACATTTCGCACCTCGCCTGCTACCGCTGAACACATTCGCGTGTCTGTGCATAAGTGTGCCTGCCTGTATGTGTGTACGCATTAATTACGATGTACGTATATGCACGCGAAGTAAAAAAAAGTATATAAAAATATATTTTGTCGTTGAAATAATAAGCCAAAATGGAATTGCACGCGAGATTGACAGGCATGCTTATTTTTAGAGGTGCAATGACACGTAGCGTTTGCGAAACGAAACGGGATATAATACGGGACGCGTCCGCGTCGCATCCGTTCAGGATTATTTATCACGTATTATAATTTAATCGCGATATAATTTAAGTAACGTAAGTTTTTCCGATTGATATAATATTTGGAAAACTTCTGAGTAAATTATTATCGATTTATAACATGGAATTTTAACTTAACTGTACATAATAATAATACAGTTAGATATACCTATAAAAATTTAACTAGTTTTTAATATAACTACCTTTTTTTAATTAACGATTATTTTAAATTTAGTAAAAAATAGAGAAATAATGAAGATGTAATAGACAAACATTTGTTTTATTGAAAGTTTATTTTAACTTATCTTTGAAAAATTACGTTTATCTAGAGCTCTCACACAATTCATTCGATATCTCCACTCAATTAATACCACTTGATACCAAGTTTTCCAATTAAATTGAAATATAATTTGAACGGATACGATATATCATTTCTTTAAACTTTAAACGATTCTAAATCGAACTGTAAAAGACACAGGATAATATAAAACAGATATAACATATCGACGATATATCGAAAAAGAGAGAGACCTCGCATTTAGCTCTAATGAGAATTGAAGATCCGCCGTCGTGTCCACGAATTATTCGCGTGTTTCGCAGAACTTTGCAATAAGTGCAGTTTAAGCCTGAGTCACCTGAGCGTACAATAACCGCTGTTTGTATGCTGTGTGAATGCTTTGTATGTTTGTGCGTGTCTGTGCAATAATAATTGAGCGTAATGCTAAATTCAATAGCTCAATTAGGGTCGGTTGTTGCACCTTCGTGTAAAGCGTTTAATAATATAATTTAAACCAGATAAGCATCTCTCTATCTCGTTTTAGAACGCGCATGTTGATTGCGATATAGACAAAGAGATCAGTTGACCGACGTTGGGAAAACCGGTCCTTAATAATTCGTTATTGCTCTTTTGATCGCGATTGATAGAAGGGAGAGGTGTTCGGTAATAAATAAGTCTTCGGTAAATACAGGATGTTCGGTAATGAGAGCGCATTATTATGGTGGACATAGTCTCAGTCGGAAACTTCGAAGCTTTCATTGACAAAATTCTTTCATTGGCGAAATTTAATGAGATATTACAATCTTCTCATAATTTTGAAAAGTTATGTTAAGTGCCACTATACTTCAAATCGAGATAATCTTGCTCAAAATTTTCTTACAATTCTTCGCATAATTTTGCAGAACTTTCATTTAAATTTTACAATTTTTTAGAAGACTTCTCAGGTTTTTTTTACATTTCTCAGAAATGTTGAGAAAGTTTCATGTTATAATTTTTTTAATACGTGAAGTATTCTAAGATTTCTTATTCTATAATTTTCGAAGAAAACTTAGAAAGTTTGGAAAAGTTTGAAAATTTTAAAATATGAAAAAAATTCTTAAAAATAAGGAATATTTCATTTGGAAAATTCATTAAATTTCTTTTTACAACTTAGAAATTATTTATGATATTTTTAAGAGAATAGAACATTTTACAGCAACTATCATGCGCTTAAATTTATAACAATCGAACATCCTCTATAATACTGATGTTAATAATAATAGTAATAATAATGGCAACATAGCAGCATGCCGGCAAACATAACGAACGAGCAATAACATATGACATATGAGAAAGTAGATGGATTATTGACAAAAATATGAAGAGAAATTAGATGAAGTAGGCGCGCTTGGTCAATATAAACTACGTCACTATAGCAGTTCTACAATGCGATCGTCTTTATCTTTATAATGCCGCTGTTACATCCTGTCGTTGCCATTATCACCATTGATATGGAACGCTACCAAACAGTCTGTCGCGAAAACAAATTCTGCCAATTTGCAAATTTTGTTGGCAAAAAAGTTACGGATCTGGCATACCCAATACTGCTGGCAAAACGATGATAGAAAGGCAGAACTATAGCAATACTCATTAATAATATATGTGGCAGATTGACAGCTGAAATCAAGCAGACGTTGACTTACTTTATTATAATTTATTGCATATTGAAAACAGAATTAAAGTTCAACAGATTCTACTTGATTTCTGCCACCGATTTATCTAGTTATGTCAGCAGGTTTAGTTGACAGAATACAAGCCTAATGCGAACATAGGTAATGCCAATTCGCTAACAATTTCCAATTGAATTTGCTACCAATCTGTTACTATACTGCGGACAGTTTGTTTACTGGGTACTATTACCATCACTACTATTACTATTATTATTATAGTTATTGTTAGTACGTACATTACCGACCCATTGTTACAAATAATACTGCTAATAATTATCATTAGAGTGCAAATGTGGCAACAACCGTGACGAACGTGATATGATATCGATAAGATTGGAAACGAAAAGGACAAAAGTACGGAAGAAAGAGAGGACTCAGTGTCGGATGTAACAAACGATTTCGATTCTGGCATTGTCATAAATTATAAATTAATATAAATTATGTTATGTAAATTATGTATTTTCCAGAGACTATTCTGTGATATAATTAATACTAAAATTACGTGAGCTACATTAATTCTTAAATGTAACACCAAACGGATTGTTCATTTCTACATCTACGATTCCTCTCCTTCTTTACTGTTATAAAATAATTAGAACGAAATAAACTTTTTGTTGTCAGGTTTGCATAAAAAATCAGTTATGATATTAACATCGAGTCTCGTAAATTTGATAGTATCTTTTCCTCAAGATTTTATATTTTCTTAAATATAATATTTGCGTATAAGAAAGACAGTACTAAAATATGAATGCGACAAAATTTCTTTCTGCGTCAACGTTATTGAATACTGTTTTACGTTTCCTATCATTTTAATAGTAGATATATTTATTTATACATATACTTTTGCAATTTGATTTTATACGCAAATCTGACAGTAAGAAATTTTCTTCCAAAAAGAGCTCTCTTTTATCTTCTTTGTCATTTCGAGATTGATCTTATTCAATCTCTTATTCGGGACGAGCCCAGATAATTGAAAGAAATGCGGAGTTCTTGTTGTTGAGACAATTCGCTTGTATTTTTTTGATACATGTCGCAATAATAGCCGCGTTGTAAACGATTGAAAACATTATCGTCGTATGATTGCGATTCATTATATTTCAAAGGTAGGGTATCGTATCGTACAAAGGTATAAATTCTGCAATTACATACATTGCATTGAAAACTGTATATAAAACGGTCGTCACAATTATTACGTGGAATTGCTCGCGTGACGTATATTTCTTGCATGAGCGAGAACATTAATTTCGCGATCTTGTTCAAATGAAAAAAATATTGCAGTTGCCGAATGATCAGATAATGCTCTACCGCACTTTATCGACTAAAAAGGAAAAAAAATAAATTATTGTTACATTATATATATAGAACAGAAAACATGAGTCTACAGTTAATATAAAAAATAGCTGTTGTATCTTGAAAGTAGCGACACATAGTTTGTATCAGAGAGAGAAGCCTAAGTGCGGTTCTCTTGCAGGCCTTTTTCGTAGGACCATCGAAATTCATACACTACTGTCACCATCCATTTTAACATGTGGCATCAGATATCCATACAGAGAAAGAATGGTTTTGTTAAAATATATCTAAAAATTTACTTTGAATTATCTAAAAATATCAAAATAATTACGTAGGACGCTTAAACTAATTGCTAAATCATGTTTGAGTTTCCTATATAATTGTTTTCATAGTCCAATAAAATTATATATATACATATATATATTTTCAGATTTGTATCTACCTAAATTTTTAGATACTTTAATAAAATCGTTCTTTCACTGAGGGAAAGGGTATCCACTGACCTTATGACGTGAATACTTAATAGTACCCTTCAATGGATTTTTAATGGCATATGCTAAAATGGATGTTGCGATAATAGTATGATTTCGATGATCCTACAAAAAAGGCCAAGGAGATGGCCGCTCTCAAGATTCTCTCTGCTATTAAATAATATTGTAACATAAAATATATTATGTACTTTAAAAATATTGTTATAAGAGAATGTTTTTAAATTATAGGTCGCTGTTTTCAAGCTGGAGTAATACCTCTTCATAAAAATGTTGCACTTTGAATTATGTGTGAAATTAATGATATATTGTATTGAGATCGGCTTTAATAGTGCATTATCTTTTGAAAAAAAATTTAGGAAATTCCAACATTTTTTCCATATGACTACCGTTGCCTGCGACACGTATCGAAAGAATGCGTGAATCTCAAGCCTCATTGAAATGTTTGTAATGATCATTATCGAATGACATTACAATATCATATATCATGTACAGAGAGAAAGAAAAAAAAGTATTCTGCCAATAATAAAGTGTTGAATGATTAATAAAAGTAATGTGTTTCTTCACGCAATAACATCTTCCTTTAGTTACATACATTTTGTCGTAGTATCATAATCGTTACTTTTCGTAAAAAGTAGCGATTGAGGCTATGAAACGATATTCAATTCCAAAATTTGTGTGTAAAAAAGTATTACTGATAAATTGATTATGTTAATTTACAACTTTCATACAAGTACTGCAGGATCATTTTATAAAGGTAGGTATAAGAAATTGTGTAGTGTGTGCTTATATTTTTATTAACTTCACCGAACAGTTGTCGTAGTAAGAAAACCTTTTACAAAAAGAAAATACTACAAAATTATCTTATGCGTATTATAAAAGTTAGTTCACACATACGCATTAGTTTCGTCCATTTTTGTAAATATTAAAAAGGCACCAGAATCGAAGATAACTCTTTACTGATAGGAAGACGGAAGAGCGTTTGATCATTTTCCTAAACAATGTGTTCAAATTAAATATTACAATTTTCTTTTTTAACTGTTTTCTTACAAATAAAGCATGAAAAAATCTTTCAAGTT